GGGGGCCACGGGCCATGCACGCCGCCAGGCCAACAGAACAGCCATTAAGCAGCCCAGCCACCCCCCGCCCCATTTTGCATATGATATTTCGCCGGCTGGATGTGGTGGTATCCGCCTCCTTATGCTCCGCCTCGACTGGGTCATGGATCGAGCGGGTTATCGCCCGGTTTATGGTGGCATCGCGCGTCATGTTCATGCAGAATGAGCTCCCCTTCCTCCCCATCCTCCCTCCCTCCCTAGCTCCCTCTGAATGTAATAATTTTCGCAGTCAACGTGTCTCCATCATCGAGCACAATTTTTCGGGAAGTGCATCATTATGTTCGTGGCATGCTTCTTCAAGCTGCTCTGGCCGCTGCTTTTTTTATGGATGTTAATGTGGCTATAATGTGTGGCTACTTGTTTCACTTCAAATGGCAGGAAGCATCGGTTGTTGGGGGGCTTGTTGGGGACTTCTGGAATGCAAATGTTCCTTAAATATATAATACTCGTGAGTAGGTATCGAATGGAAGCTGTGATGTCATTAAGCCCTGAATACGAATTAGATGTGGGCACGATATAACCTTTCTTCTAAAGGATATATATTTCATTGTGGGTATCCGATGATACCAGAATTCAATACTTTGCTCTCTAGTCTCTACTATTACTATGTCCAGCCGAGGGACCATTGAAAAACCAGCCTATCTCCAAGATAGAGGCTCCCATGCGTCTCCACCCTGTATATCTTTCAGCCAGTAATTAATTTTTGGGTCATATACATATCGCATCCATATATCGTTCGATTTGTCTGACTCTCCGACCACCTATAATTCAATGATTGGACAAAACATAATTCAGACATTTCAATTGCTTCTCGTTTTTATGTGGCGTCGTCCCGGTGGCATTTAAGGTTGTAAAATGTACTTGCAACAGTTATTGGGCTCTGTCTGGGCCTCGAATTGGGCAAAGTCTTCCCTGCGTTTCGTTAATCAAACATAATATCCTGCAGAGTCGAGAGAAAACTTTCGTTTGCAGAGACCTTAAACAAAAACAAAAGCCCCAAGGGGCAGGCGAAGGAGGGGACGGACAACAACCCACACGCACTTTCATCGGGTCCGGGTATGGACTGGGGGACTGGCGGACTGTGGACTCTGGACTGTCGACTGGTGTTCCCCCACAGATCCGTGACAGGACAGAGTCTGTGGCAATAATAAAAACGCTCGATTGTAATTTTCACAGTGCAATTATTGTCTCAGCTTTCAAATGCGGTAGGCCCCAGATCCCCAGATTCCCAGATCCCGAGAGGTTCAGATCAGAGAGACTGGGACTGGGCCAAAAGCAATTTTCAATTTTAACAGCCAGAGCATAAAATATCAGGCACAACTGGCAGCACACACACTTGTTGATGCCACACGTTGGCCGGGGCAAGTGATTCGGTGTCTGTCTGTGTCTCTGCTCCGCTCTGCTCTGCTCTGCAGACTTTTGTCGCTCGCTTCTTGCTGCGTGTCCTGAAAATGAGGGAATTACAAAAGTTTTTCATGTTGCAAGCTCCGAGAGCTCCGACAACGGCACACCAGACAAATCTCATTAAAAGGCGTCGCGTCGCGTCGCGTCTTCGTGTTGCGCCCGCAAGGAGCAGCTCCAGATTCCGCGCCCGAGTCCCAGTCCCAGTCCCAGTCTCAGTCCCAGTCTCAGTCCACCACAAATCGTGGCCAGTCAGTCGTCCGTCAGTCGTCTTGTGGTGCTGTGACCCTTTTTCATATGGCCAGCCAAGAGGCGTTGCATTTAAAATGTCGTTAATAATTTGTTGCTCGCTCCAGAGCATCAGACCAGGCCAGACCATACCAGGCCAGTCCAGACTCCAGACTCCAGACTCCAGATCGGACCCTACCAAAGTCCCTGAACCTCTTCTCGCGGTGGATTTCTGTTTCGGTTTTTTAGAGCTCGTCGTAAAAGAGTTTTATTATTTATGTTTCATTGCCTCCAAAATAGGATTAGCCTGTTGCAGCTTGGCCTCTTTTTGCGTTGTTTCGTTGTTGTTGCTAGTGCTGGCCATGTTGCAACATCCAAAAAATCGCTTAAACATCATCATTTTACACGCTTTCAAAATGTTATGGGATCCAGGGATATGGACGGATCGACGGTGGTCGATCGATGGTTCGCTTCTGAGATTGGTCTTGTGGTTTGGTTATTTGGGTCACCTAATTGGAGGTTTAACGATTGATTTTTTCCTGAAACAGTGACCAGAAATATGAGAATTTATTCAAAAGAAATGACGGAACAAATGCTAGAAAATTATTCATTGGTTTTAAGACAATTTATGGATGTTCTAATGAATCTTCAAAGGAAATATATACTATCTTTTATCCATAGTAAATCCCTGAATAGTATTCCTTGAAGAAATTCTCTCTTGGAGCCCCCAGGAGATGCGATTTGTCAACTGGCAGAAGGATTGCTCCCAATAAACTTGTTCGAGTGTGATTTAAGGCCAACTCTAGCTCCAGGTCCAAACCCCAAACTAATTAACTTGCACAGCGGTCGAAGCGGCTGAGAGCTGGGGCAGTGGGTGGTCCGCGGTCTCGGTGCCAGTGCCAGTGCCAGTGCCAGTGCCGGTGCCGGTGCTGGGCCTCTCCTAGAACATAGTCAAGAAAAAATTAGTTAACAAGATCATTAAATCTTTGTTAACAGCCAATCGAGCAACGACAGCAACGTCGGACTCCGTACCCGTCCCAGTCGAGGGGCATTAGAGGAGACCACCATTCGCTTCCTCCAGACCAGACTCCCAGAGCCACGGCTGGCCCAGCGACGTGCGATAAGATAAGGGAACTAGAGTGGGAGACAGCGAGAGAGAGAGAGAGAGAGCTGGAAATGGAACTGGAACTGGAACTGGAACTGTGAGGCGAAGACACGAGATCGGAGATCCGAGAGGAAAAGTACCTGGACATGGGCATGTAAATCGCAGTACGTGGCCCTGGCCAGAGTCCCGAGTCCCGAGTCTGGTCTGCACATGTTTATCTATTAATTTATGCTGGCGGTTTTTCGGTTCCTCGTTTGTGAATCGCCTGGAGAGGAGATCGCACTTGTGCGCCCGTATAGCCGCCGGCCGGCCGGCCGGTCGTCCGGCATATTCCTAGGAATCTCAATCGCAATCTGGATCTGAATCCGCATGCACAGCAGTGGGCCCTGCCACAGGGACAAACATTCGATAAGACACTAATTAAGTTAAATGTTCGCTCTGTGCGGGCCGTTCCTGAAAATTGGCACGGATTCTCCCCCCCACTCTCCCGGATCTCTATGATTTATACGTACATGAAAACGGAGACGGGGGCAACACCTCTTATCTGACAAGGGAACACTTTCCTTTCCACCCGTCGCGTCGTGTTTGTTTGTTTTGCTGCGACACACAGCTGCCACTTAGTGCGGGTGCCACTTGAGAAACAGTTTTCTTCAATTTTGTAAGCAATGAGCACCGAAGGGAACAATAAGAGAACGCAGATATTTGATTACCAAGCAGCATTAAAATTTAAAATTGTAAATGCTGCTAATACTCTTTTAACTCACAGTTAAGCGGACGATCTGCCGTCTCGTGACGCTTCGGCTCTGATTCGGGTCTCGTAAGAGAGAAAGAGCGCAAGATGATTAAGAGCGCCGCGAAACGACTTGGAAATGGAACACGATTAAGAGAGCTGTATCAAAGAGAGCGGGCGTTGTGAGCTCTTTGATATAGAAGAGACTGATCTTGTTTATTTCCATTAGATGATTGCAGTAGGCAAACTAATGTTCCAAATAATAAGACTTGTTTATTATTTCTTTTCATCTGCACGCTTTCGTCGCTTTGAAAAAGTGAACTCGACTAAAGGAGAGAAGCAAAGAGCGCAAAGATGAGGACATGACGCGTTTTTTTCGTTCCCACTTTTGTACTGCTTCTTCGTATATGTATTTGTCGACTCTTCTTTGATGTCACTTTTGCTGTTTCTCAACAACTTCATTCAAATATTAGATTGTGGGGATGGCTCTTATTCACTTACAACATTTATTAAAATTACTTTGAAATATTAACTATTGAAGGCTTAAAGGCATACAAGAACTAATACTACAGCAGGCTACTTTTCAACGAAGTTTCTCCACTCCACGCTGGAATTTATTTCTTGTACGCAGTGGACTTCTCTCACTCCTTTGACGGTGGCAAAAAACAAAACAACAAAACATTCATTAATGCAAATTGGTACCTGGCTTCCCGTTGAACCTTTGACATTTGATCGAGTCAAAAGGAGGCCCTCGCGCGCACGCACGTGTTCGACTCCCTACCTGATCTCTTTTTTGTGCGCGTATGTTGCAGGTCAACTAATGACCCAGATGCACCTGATAATGAGGCAAGTAGCCCTTGTCGTTAATCCCCCCTTTCTTGGGTTATTCCCGATTTTGCCTAGCCGCAGCAAACAACTGTTAATCGACGCAGAATCATCTCATCCGCTCCTCTCCACCTAATTGCGCATTGAGTTGAGATAAAGAGCGCCACAACGAGAGCGAGTCTCTCCAGCAGCCTCTCTCGCCAACACCAACACCAAACCACTGTAGAATACGTGTGCAGGCAAACACCAGTGCAATTATAACGGCATTTATATTTAGCTGTGAATCGTTGTTGTTGCGACGGCGTCGGTGGCGATTGGTGCAAGTGTACGTAGACACGAGGTACATAAGCAAGCCGAAACAGGTTTGCCACCCGAACGCTACGATTGGCCGAACGCACCCACACATACACTCGCACGCAACACATTGCCCATGCATGTGAACGACCACGACTACCTGAATGAAAACGCACCACGCCGAGAGAGCGGCTCTCTTTCGCTTCGCTCTCTCGGGCTGCGCCTGCGCTGCTGGCTTCGGGTGGCACGCGTATATAAAGCGCGCACAGCGACCGACTCGCTCTGACTCCGCTGACGCCCGCTTCGCTGCAAGCATCCACCCAAGCAATAGCAACAAGAAAAAACGACCGCGCTTCGTTTCGTTTCTGACAATAACTGTTCGTTCTGTGTTTTTGTGCGCGAGCAATGTGGTGGAAATAATCGAAAATCGAAAGAAACAATTTGAGAACTTTTAATTTGAAAAAGCAATCCAGAGTATATAAAGCAACAAAATGCATACCGTGGAAGACATGTTGGTGGAAAAAAACTACAGCAAGTGTCCTTTGAAGAAGCGGCCCGTGAACTACCAGTTCGAGGCGTCCGCCCAGACCCCCGTCAATGAGCCCCAGGATCTTTGCCTTAAGAAAACAGAGTCGGACGAGCTGGAGGTGGAGGCAGACCCTGCGACGGTCTCCGCCTCGGAGGAGGTGATCAACGTGAGCGACTGCTGCGACGACGAGGGCGTGGACGTGGACCACACCGATGACGAGCACATGGACTTGGAGGAGGAGGACGACGTGACCGTGGACTGTGTGGACGTGGACACTGATCCGAACCAGACACAGGCCGCCGCCCTGGCCGCAGCCGCAGCCGTGGCCGCCGCATCTGCTGCCGCTGCAGCCGTGGTCGTGCCCACACCCACGTATCCCAAGTATGGCCTACAGCCATGGAACTTCCACATGTCCCCGTACACGGCCGAGTTCTACCGCACCATCAACCAGCCGCACCTGGCCGCCGTGGCAGCCTCCGCCGCCCAGCAGCAGATATCGCCTCTGCGAGGCGACCTACTGGCCCCCAGCTCCCCCTCGGACTCTCTGGGCTCGCTGTCGCCACCGCCGCACCACTACCTGCACGGCCGGGCCAGCTCGGTGTCGCCCCCGATGCGTTCCGAGATCATCCACAGGCCCATCGGAGTGCGCCAGCAGCACCGGTTCCTGCCATATCCGCCGCTGCCAGCCGCCGCCTACCACCAACAGACGCCGTACCCCGCGCTGGGCTACCACCACCACGCACCCATTTCGCCGGCCTACTCGGAGAGCTCCTACTACTCCATGCGCTCCATGACGCCCGAGTCCAGCTGCTCCTCGGTGCCCGAGGACCTCTCGCTCAAGCACAAGCCGATCGGTCAGGAGGCCGCCAGCAGCATCAAGGCGGGAGCAGGCCCCTCCACGAGTGGATCCGCCAGCAGCTCCGCCTCGCCGAGCCCCGCTAAGAAGGACAAGTCGCCACCACGCTACCAGTGCCCCGACTGCCAGAAGTCCTACTCGACCTTCTCCGGGCTCACGAAGCACCAGCAGTTCCACTGTCCCGCGGCCGAGGGCAACCAGGTGAAGAAGTCCTTCAGCTGCAAGGACTGCGACAAGACGTACGTCTCGCTGGGCGCCCTCAAGATGCACATCCGCACCCACACGCTGCCCTGCAAGTGCAACATGTGCGGCAAGGCCTTCTCGCGCCCCTGGCTGCTGCAGGGCCACATCCGCACCCACACCGGGGAGAAGCCGTTCAGCTGCCAGCACTGCCACCGCGCGTTCGCCGACCGCTCCAACCTGCGGGCCCACCTGCAGACGCACTCGGACATCAAGAAGTACTCGTGCAGCAGCTGCTCCAAGACCTTCTCGCGCATGTCCCTGCTGACGAAGCACTCCGAGGGCGGCTGTCCGGGCGGCAGCAGTCCCAGCTCCAATGCCGGCTCCACCAGCGAGCTGTCCTACGCCGGCTACGCCGAGCCCTAGGATCACCCGCGGGATCTTCTTTTGATCCACACATTGTATTCAAGCCATGTTCCACCAAAAATTAGTTCCTAGCTCGTTTAAGAGACCGGCAGCTCCAAGTTCCCAAATGAAATGAACAACCGAACTCGAACTCTTACTTAACCCAGACACTCCCAGTGCACAGTGCCACAAAAAACTATGTAGACACGCTGAATTCAATACGTTTTTATTTTGATTTGGTTATTTTTGATTATTTTCTAGTCAGCATTTTCTTTGCAAGAGAAAATTAAAACGGAAGTTCATTTGATTTTACTTTTAAATTTCGTCTCCGCATTGAATTTCATTACTATTTCATACACAAACTCCTAAGCCGAACTTTGTAAAGTATTCTTCAGATATCCTGTATATGTACACGTACCACGTAAGGTGTATTACGCCCCAGCGTCTAACTGTAGATCCTAAGCTGAAGACCCAGACAATCTTATGTAACTTTAGATGTACGATATCCCAGTTGAACGAAGACATACCCTATACTGATGTATGTATGCTTCTATCCCTATATACAATACCATAGTACGAGTATTTTTAGCCTAGCTGTAGATCGTAAACTATTTTTGATATGACCGACCACAACTTTTACGTATACATTGAAAATGTTCTACTTTACGCGTAGTTTAAGTGAGGATACAAAAGCTAATGGAATATTTTGATACGGAAATGTTTTATATTTTTAAGTAATTTATTACATCAGACGATCTATGAAAGAATGAAATACATTTTATTTACGTACGCAAGTACACAAAACTATTACTATTATTATTATTGGTTGGAAAGGGCTACTTCAATTTTTCCATTTCAGCAGAAAGATCTAGAATTGAGTTCGAGAGAGTTCTTGATGACAGATGAGTAATCGTCAGCGTAGGGACTCACGGGAAGGAACCACAAAATATTACTCTGTTTAAATATAAATTTATATAGATTTTTTAGGTCTAAGGAACTCAGAATTTATTTTTTATTAGAATTTATTATTAGGGTTTTAATAGTTTTGCATGCCAATATTTTAGTTGATTTTCCAGCCAGTTTTACCAGTATTTGTGGTTCTTATTATACCTGCTATTATTGTTGGATTGAAATACCCAAATTATATCCATGCAAAGGTCTGAATCTTCAAAATTTATGAATGTAATATATTTGAGATATTGTTGATCATTCTTAGCAGAATTCCATTATTATGTATCACATTTCTTCAAGATTAAGTACTTCCAATTGGGCAGCATAATTTGAAAGACTTATTCGAACTATTCCCAACTCTAATCCGTTCCGTTTTCCGAAAGCAAGCTCAACGAAATCTGAAATAGTCGTGAATGGACGGGTGGACGGACGGCACAGCACTTGGGAGCTCTTCCCTTTTTTGGGTCATGCTCTTCTTTTCGGGGCGAATAAACAAATCGAAACAAATCGAAGCGAGTCGAACGAGAATTGGGGGACCGCCGGAGAGCCGACCAGCCAATCGCGACATTTATGGCCTGCCCAGAAAAACAAACATACTCGAAAAAAGCTTTTATATGCTGTGCTGATCATAAATAATATTTAAATTTCCGCACACGTACAATGTGATCGGGTGGGGCAGGGGTCCGGCAGGGTGGGGTGGGGGGGCTTACAAAATGGCAGTCACTAAATCAAAATCGAAACTTCAAGCCTGAGTAGATCCGCGCCTCGCCGAAGTCTTATTAGACATGAGGCAGATTTTAATGAAGGAGAGAAGAAATAGAGGCCTAGTCGGAGACTAGGCGAGATCTCCAAGTGTGATCGATGCATCCATGCGGAAAAGAGGAGGAGGCGGGGGCGGCGGAGGAGGAGACGCCATCATCGAAAGGTAACGTTTGGGTGACAGAGCATATGAAATTATGGGTGCGTCCTCCCAAGCCGAAGTCGAACGTAACGAAACTCATTATCGAGATCAATCGATCGCCAGGCGGGGTCTAGACTCCCAAAGTCCCAGAGTCCCAGCCAGCGCTCGAACATGTGTGTGGGGATCCGGCCGAGCAGCGAGCAGCGATCAGCGATCGACGACCACGACAATTGTTGCCAAATTAGATCATCAGGCAGCCAGCCAGTCAGCCAGCCAGCCAGCCAGCCACGGAGCGGCAGCAACAAGTTTCAGTCAAGTTTCACGTGTGCAGAGATCTGTAGAGCGATCCCCACCAGCCCAAGCCCCGAACCAGCGAACCAGCGAAAATTAATATGCACGCATTTCGTGGCTCGACTGCCTCCAACTCAAACTCCATCTCCATACCAGTCTCCTCCTTCGGTCTCGGGTTACCAGCCCTGGCTGCAGATCCCCCAGTCTCGAGACTCCCAAAACCTGAGCCCCGGCTGGCTGGTTGATCGCAGCCCCCAAAACGATCAACGTTCGTGCCTGCTTTCTTGCTAAACAATTTGCAAACGATTTCTAATAAGCGTCTTAAATTGTAACAAAATAGACTCGCATTTAGGGTCTTTTGTGTGCCTTTGCCTTAGCCTTAGCCTGACTCGGGCTCCAGCTCCAGCTCCAACTCCAGCGATAACAAAGATCGAGGGAATAAAAAATAGGAAAAAAGAAATAAAAAATAGCCGAAAACATGGACAACAGAAAAACGGGAGGGTAACTGCCTGGCTTGACCCTCTCCCTACCCAAAAACGAATAAAAACCGTTTGAGTTTTTATTTCTGATTATTTTATTTTATTTGTGCCAAATTTCGCGCTTGATCGGTGCATTTTTTGTAACCGTTTTATGGCGAGGATTGAGTACCTCTGAGGTTACTCATAGATGGCTACGATGAAGATCTTTTGGGTAAGGCCACAGACAATTTGACTGATTTTGGGGTCTCAACTTTGTGGCGACTTACTTACTGTATGTCAAGAAAATGATCTTGTAGGACAGGGACCACATCTTTGAGAGTCAATGAACTTTACTTCGAGGATCAACGATCGGGAAGCAAGGAACTCCTGCTATGAATCGATTTGTTCCTTATTGTAAATTGAAACTCAAGTATTTTTACGTCTTATGAGGACTAAAGATCGTCCCGAACTCCCTCCAATAGCTGGTATACCTCTCTCCAGCCCCAACTCCAACTGCTCCAAGTTCCATTTCAATTCGTTAACAATCAACAAATATCACTTTCATGACGTTTTTCGCAACTGCAGCTGTCTGTCTGGTCTTCCACCTCGAGGTTCCCTAGGTTCACTCCCCCATCCAGTGCCCCCCCTTCGCTGGCCTGGCTGCCACTGATAAAACCTGACGATTTTGTCCAGAAACGCTGCACCATAATAAAGCAGCTAAAAGTCAAACGACAACGCAAAATGGTAAACAGATCGAAGCTTTATGAATATGCAGAGATAAAAAGCAGTTGGGAGACCCCTCTTACCCACCCGCCCACCTCTCCGTCACCGTCACCCCTCACCCTTTTGACAAAGGAAAAAGTTTTTTTTTGAATTTCAAATTTTTTAACGAGCCAAAATGAAAAACTTTCCAAACAAAAGGCAAACAGCGCACACACACCGCACAGAAGGCAGGCTCCCCGAAAAACCGATTGATCCAGAGCAGAAGCGAACAGAGAGGGGGCTACGGGAGCCACACAGGGAGCTGCGGGTGTGGAGAGGAGAGGAGAGTAGAGCAGAGAGGTGCTAGCGGAAAGCGCAAACTGAAATGAAATTTAGCGTAAAAATGGAGATCTTTTGTCCGCGATAAACGTGAGCATTTTGTTTGTCACGACGAAGTGTGCTTTTTTGCGCGACCGTCTGACGCGGACTTGGATTCGGATTCGGATTCGGCTTCGGAATACGAGTCCCATTCAAAGGCAGGGAGGTTCCATTGGTATCCCTAAAGCAAAAATATCAAATCTACATACCTCAGAAGTAATTAAAAAAATACTTCAATTGATCAGAATATTTTGAATATGTTTACATTTTGTATGGGACAAAATTAAACTTTGAAATTCTATTAAAAAAGAACCATGTCCGACCACTGAAAAATTTCTGCACGTAAACTCTTGATAAGTCGAGGTCCATTATCGGTTTTTTAAGCATACATATGTATATCGAACAGTGTTTTATATATCAGATGATTTGCTGTTTAGATTTCCCATAAGCGAACCGGCTTATTGGTCCGAATGGTCGTTTCCAGGTCTTAAAGATTTTGTTATTGTGTAAAAATAACCAATGACAGTCACAATTGATCCCTGAAGCCAGCATTATACGGTTGGGTGGATATGCTGCTGTTGGAACTGTCGTAGAACACAAAAAACTCGTTTAATACGGGGGAATGGGCGATACAAAATTATAATATAAGTAGCTTTAATTCAGTTGATTAAATTCAGACATTTAAAAATATTCTTTGGATAAGCGATCATTAAAAGGAGTATTCCTTAAATTCCTACAATATCTCCTATTGGGGAAAATTCAAATACAACGAACAAAATATTGAGATGTAATCAAGTCTTTAGAACGCATATTATTTTTCTAGATTCTATAGTTTTCCTTCTTAAAATTTGAATATAAACAAATGTACACATGATCCCAAAAACGCATGGTACATTTTCTTTGAATCATTGGTACTCCAAAGCTTTTATCCCATATAATTTTCAAAATTTTCCAGCCAAAAACCTTGAGAAATACTGTCATACGGCGAATCTCATTGTTCCAGAGATAACACAGAAGGCACGAAATGCAAAAAAATGAGGCAACCGTACTTGCTCTCTCGCTCTCTCTCTCTCTATGTCTGTCTCTCTTTTCGTGCTGTGTCCTGCATTTCGTTGACCATTTCTGCTAATTTGTGTGAGTGAACAACAGCAATCAGCTACAACTACAACTACAACTACAACAAAAACCATACACTTGCGGACGGTATTAGGGCTGTCCGTTTGTTTCTAAACTAGTCTGAGGTTTAAATTTTCAACTAAGGTCTTTCGTATCCCATCAGAATACAACTCCTAAACGATTGGAAGGAAAATTCTACTCTGGGTTTACTTCTTACATTTATATTCGGAACCACGTGCATCTGTAACTGATCGTCGAACGGCAAGGGTGTACAGTTTTCGACGCAGATGCTGTTAGCTTTCACGCATTGCTTGTTGCTTGTTGTTTTTTTCGTCGCCTCACTCTCGTTGACCGAGCGAGACAGAGCGAGAGAAACGACGCCGATTGAGTGTGCCAGTGGCCAGTGTGTGTGAGTGTCTGCGACTGTGTGTTTGTGAGTGCGTGAGTGGAAAGGCAACGATACCATCTTCAGGCCTAGTGAGAGAGAGCGAGCGAGGCAACCAACCTGCTGCCGCCCCGCTACTCTACTCCACGGACTAGCCACCGACTAAGGTTCAAAGTTGTTGTTGCTGCTGTTTGGCCAATTAGTTAGTGGCTCGGTCGCTGCGTAGCGTGCTCCCTGCGAGAGGAGGGGGGGGGGGGGGGGGGGGGGGGGGGGGGGGGGGGGGGGGCCGGAAGGTGCTGTACTGTACTTACTCGTAGACAAAGCTCAGCTACAATTGTGGCAGCAGGCATAACAGCAGTTAACGCGCTTTATTGTCTGTTTGCAAGTGGCCAACCATCTCTCTCTCTCTCTTTCTCGCTATCTATTTGTGTGCCTGTGTGTGCGTGAGTTGTTTTATGGGTACAGTGGGCACCACCAACCATCATGGCGTTGATCATTAGCGTAGATGGTGTTATTATTTGCACGTTT